CATTATAAAGATGTTAATACATCATGAGTGGAAGGCCTTCTAAAAATGCTAGGGTGGTTTAATTTTAGGACTGCCATTGATATAACCTATCTATTAAGAGAGATAGGAATAAAACCCATACAATCACCTCTATAGATGTCACAGAATCAAATTCAACACTCATTCATGTTAAAAAATATGCTAAAAATCAAGAACTTGGTAGATGCTAATTTAACATGATTTTATGCCAAAGCCAAGTATTAATGAAAACACAGAGCACTGAAAATTCTCTTTCATTGGTGAAAGGATTTTAAGGTTGTAAAACTGTTTTGGAAAACAGTTTAGACGACCCTGTGAAGTTGAACATACACATATCCTATGACCCAGCAATTCTAACTCCTAGGTTTATCCAATAGAAGGCTCACATAAGTGCATTAAAATGTTTTTACAAGATTTACCTGTAATAGCCAAACATAGCAAACAACCCAAATGTCCATCACCCATGGTGTGATGGTGTAATGAAAAGGCACGACAGACACCCACAACGAGAATGAATTTCACACACGTGACATGTAACAGAAGCCAGAGACCAAAGACCACATGCCATGTGATTCAATTTAAATATAACTGGGTAACAGGCAAAGTAATCACAGCATCAGAAGGTATGGCAGGAGTCACCTTTAGAGCAAAGGGAGAGATGAATGATCAAGATCAGGCCCGAAGGATCTCCTGGCGTGCTGGCAATGTTCTGTTTCTTGAACCAGGGGCAGTTTCCTGGGTTTCCACTTGCAACAATTCACTGGGTATGAAATTTATGTTTTGTGCATATTTCCGTATATTTGAAACACTTCAGTAAAAAGAGTATTACCATCTTTAATCCAAAAAAAGAATGCACAAAGCAATCCCTGCATCTATAATCCCAAAATATGAAACATAAAAGGAAAATACATATAATTATATATCAAATTGGTGACAAGATTATTTGAATTGATCTAAAAACTCAGGTTCTGTCTATCGAGTGTATCCCAAGGACCAAAAAATAATAATAATAGTAACTTAAATAGCACTTTGTAATTTTATTGTTACTAATAATACAGTTATTATTTTTAAACCATTTATTGTCAACTATTGGTTAAAGAAGGTACGTGTGTTGATGTCACGAGCAACTAAGGCTTTCAGCTTATAACAAGAGCACTTAAATTTTTAAATAGAAAAGTTGTGAATTGGAAGTACGGGTATGAGTGAACTTGTGATTTTTCTCTTTACGAACATTTCCTAGCTAGAAGAAATGACAATCCCAGCATCAGTGACACCCAGACCCAGACTGTGTTCTCTAAGCACAATTGTCAGCTAAAATTAAATAAGGTTTCTTGTAGAACTGACTTCAGAACTAAGACTGACTATTCCCAAGGGTAGTGAAATCTCGTTGACAGAAAGCAACTAAGTTATCAGAGAGAGTAGTCAGCTCACACAGAAAGGAGAAAGGAGCAAACCTTAACGGGCTCCTGTTGGACTGAGGTGGAACTCAGTCCAAAAGACTAACGCCTACAGAAGACTGAAATGTACAAACATACATATGTAAATCCGTAATTTCTTAATACAAAAAGAAAAATCTCACTGCACAGAATTAAGACTACTAATCCACAACGTGTTATTCTGAATATCGGTCTATAAAGGTGGATAATCATTCATCCTGCCTTTGCTAAACACACTGTATTTTTGGATAACCAATTAGCTGAGGTGGGAAAGTTCTAATGTAAGAAAAATCACCAGCTGTAAATGAGAAAGGAATTATAGAAAGAGAAAACTCTCATTTTTGGAACCCTGAAGGACTAATGCCACTAAGCACTGGCCGTCGATGGGTGCTGGAAATGTTAGCATGATTTTGAATTTTTCCATCACATCATTGACAGCACTTGAAGCTAGTGACCAGTCGTCACACTATCACTAATACGGTAACCAGATATTATTATATGCATCTTCCTATGAGTCAATAGGAAACACAGAGCACCAACCAGGAAGAATTCCTACCCTTTCTCCATAAAACAACTTGAATCTAAGCAAGTCTACGTGTCTGACAAGCAGTTCATGGGAAATATAGGAGAGAGAGGACCACAAAGGGCAGAATAACACTTAATGAAACTCAGCTCTGGTTAAAACAAATGCTAATTTCTCTTTGCTAAATAAATGCCACTAAAAAATAATAGGACAATGTTTGAAATTAAGGGACCTAATAGTCAATGTTCTCTAAATACAGACAGGACCTTATTTCAGTCCTGGTTCAATGAAAAAATGCACAATGACATGTGTGAGACATCAAGGAAATCTGAACACTGACTGGTATTAAATATTAGGGAACCACTGCCAATTTTGTTAGCTGTGGTAACAGCATGGTGACTATTTTTTAAAAGCCTTTTCTGTTAGATAAATACACTAGAGCATTTATGACTACAATATGATGTCTAGGATTTTTTTTTTTTTTAAAATACTATAGTGGGGGTTGGGGGATGGGAATTTCTCTGACAGTCCAGTGGTTAGGATTCCACAGTTTCTGCTGGGGCTGGAGTTCAAAAAATTCCTGGTCAGGAAACTAAGATCCGGCAAGCAGGACACATAGCACAGTCAAAAAAAAAAAAATACTAACAGGGGGAGGGGAAAGACAGAGGGAGGAGAACAGAGAAAGGGAAAGAGATAAGGAGGGTGAATGAGAGGGTGAGACAACAGACAGACAACATTCATAATATTTCAGTAACTCTTGGAAGTGATCTCAGTATTTCAGTCTCTCTCCTTTTACGTATATTGAGATTTTCCATAATGAAAATGTTTAATGAAGGGATCAAACTAGAGTATCTGTTAACATTCCTTCCAGTTTTGAATCTTAAGGTTTTATATTCAATTTCCTAAAATATAGCCACTGCATATTTAAGATTTAAATATACGTAACATAATATAATATTTATTTTAAATTATTACACATAAGAACGACAACAAACTCAGGGTGATAAATGTGTTGCCTAGGGGGAAAAGTGTAAGAAGCTGGCTATATTTTTCTGTAGAAAACATAAGGGAGAATTTAATAAATGCTTCTGAATATATACAAGAGACCACAACTAGCTCTTTTCTGTAGCCAGTGATGGGAGAAAAAGATGGAAGGGACTTAAACTGTATCATAAGAAAAGTAAAATAGATTTTTCTCCATCCATCTCTTCTGTCTCCTTGTAACAAATTATACTGCCACACTTTCCTACCATTCTTGTAATCGTTTATTAAATCTTTTAACATGGACTGAATACCAGATGTATACATGTTACTTGGCTGGCTAGGCACCATGGATTACAGTGATGAATAATGAGGTTCTATAAAAAGACAATGAAATAGTGCCATTTGCAGCAACATGGATAGACAGAGATTATGATACTAAGTGAAGTAAGACAGACAGACAAAGACAAGTATCATATGATATCACTTATATATGGAATCTTTATTTAAAAAAAAGGAAAGATAATACACATCAACCTATATACAAAACAGAAATAGACCCACAGACATAGGAAAAAAACTTATAGCTACCAAAGGGGAAAGGGGAGGAGGATAATTAAGAATTAACATATATATACTACTATATATAAAATAGATAACAAGGGCCTACTTGTATAGCACAGAAAACAATACTTAGTATTTTGTAATAACTTACAAGGGAAAAGAATCTGAAAAAAGAAGAGATACAGACAAACAGATACACATATAACTGAATCACTTTGCTGGACACCTGAAAGTGACACATTGTAAATCAACTGTACTTCAATAAAAAAATAAAATAAAATTTTAAAAATTAATAAAATAAAACGAGGTCTATGCCTTTAAAATGCCTACAGGATCTTCAACCATGAGTTTTATTGAAACGTACTGGAGAAATCAGGGCACATTTCACACTTGGAATTTTATTGATGATTTACTGAAAAACTATGTATGAACACACGGTTGTGCTACAAAAACCTCATCTCAAGAGTTCTGAACCTAAGGCTCACAGTTGGGCCTCACAGGAATCCTCATCTCCTGAAATGACTGCATTGCTCTCAAAAGGCTATCATGGCTTTCCTTAATCTAAAATGGTAATAATAGCCAATGGACTGGAACCACATCTCATGCAGCAGAAACCAAAAAAAGAAAAAGGGAAAAGATGAACAAATTGCCATGTGCCTGCCAAGCTTACTTCCTCCTGAAGTTCTAACCTTGCGAAACTTTGTTTCCTGTGTTTGAGTGCCATCTAGTGGTTGTTTCGACTGTTACAGAACTAAAAATTTTGTTGGATTCGATAGACATGAACTTGGCAAATTTCAGGAGATAAGTGAAAAGCAGGGAGGCTTTCCCGTGCGTCCACGGGATTTCAAAGAGTCGGATGTGACTCAGTGACTGAGCAACACAACACAAAAATCTTGTAAGCAATAACAGAATTTGTAAAAAGATGGCATTATAAAGGAGCACCTGGCTAATTCATTTCAATGTATGACAAAAACCACTGCAATGTTGTAAAGTAATTAGCCTCCAACTAATAAAAATAAATGGAAAAAAAAAAAATAAAGGAGCACCTGACACAATTTCAAGTTATTTTGAAAATCCCTCATTATCCAACAGAAAACAGTTCACAATATAGTATATGTTAATTCAAAAGTTCCTCGATAGCTAAATACACACTATTACTTTTTAAAATTAACATCCAAGAAATGGATGTTAATCCAGACATTCAAGTAATCTAGTTAACGAAACAAAGCTTCATCTAAAAATTGTTGAAATCACAATGAATAGAGCCCAGAAGCCATGTAACTCCACCATATCACTTTCAATAACTGCCAGTGTTGAACATGAGAGGCCGTGCTGAAGTGTGAAGGTCTACTGAGGTGACTTTATAGCGGCTGCCATATTCCATGAAAAACGCTTAAGTGAATACCCATGAAAGCTGTATGTTCTAAACTGAGAACATTCTCTGCCATTCCTAACATTTCAGTAATAAAAGAAATTACCTCAGTAACAGGTGCATTTTCCTGGAGCTCAGCTGTGTGCGAGGCCAGTAAACCAATCACCCGAGCGACCTTGGCCCTTCTGTAAACAGAGAGAAAATGGCTTCTGAAGTGGAGAGTCAGGACCAAGGAAATCAAGCCCATTTAGTCCCATCACACAGCTGTGCGCGTCACCAGGAGAGAAACGCGGATGGACCCACGTGCACCGCCCAGAGCACCGCCCCCTTGTGTACACGGCGGGCATGAACACAACGCCCTGGGCAGCCCAACTGCGCGCATGCGTGCTCCGTCGCTCAGCAGGGTCCCACTCTTGGTGACCCCATGGACTGTTGCCCGCCAGGCTCCTCTGTCCACGGGATTCTCCAGGCAAGAATACTGGAGTGGGTTGCCATTTCCTCCTCCGGGGACCTTCCCGATGCACAGATCAAACCTGTGTATCTGGCGTCCCCTGCACTGGTAGGTGGATTCTTCACCAATGAGCTACCTGGAAGTCCATTCGTAATGGTGACAGAAACTGAAGTTGTGCTTTAATGGTGAAATGGAAAGTAAAATTTTTTCAAAGATCTTCGCCAGAGAGAGGAAAGAAATAGTAACTACCCCCTTTCATTATGTGAATGGTTAAATAAACTGTGGTACATCCAGACAGTGGAATATCTGGCACTAAAAAGAATGAGCTATCAAGCCATGGAAAGACATGGAGGAACCTTAAATGTGTGTTACTAAGGAAAAAAAGCCAATCGGAAACAACTACATACTTTATGATCCCCACTACATGACCCTCTGGAAAAGGCAAAACCATGGAGGCAATAAAAAGGTCAGTGGTTAAATAAAAGTCAGAGGTGTGAACAGGCAGAACACAGATTTGATTATCCAATAAATACTGTATGATTCCATAACGATGGCAGCACATCATTAAACAGTGCCCAAACCCACAGAATGTACAACACTAAGAATGAACTGTACTGTAAAGTACAGAGTTCAGATGATTTTGACATGTCAGTTTAGGATCTTCATTGATAGCAAATGTACCGTTCAGGTGGGAGATACTGACAACTGGAGAGGCAACACGTATGGGGGAGCAGAGGTATATGGGAAATCTCTTTACCGTGCCCTCAATTTGCAGTAAGCCTAAGACTGCTCTAAAAAATAAATTTGATAAAAACCAAGAAAGGGTGAATTTTATCTCAATAAAAGAGTAAGAAAGCACAAGAAAATCCAGAGTCAGGAGATACAAAATCCCACATCCATCCTACAGGAGTTTCAGGAGCAGAAAAAGGATGAAAAAGAGATGAAGAAATCACAAGGATAGAGAAAAGCAAAAGAAAGGCTAAAGCCTTTAAGAGACTGACTGGCAAAGAAAATTTGTAAAAAGATATATCCTAGTAAAATTTTGCAGGCCTGCAATATAAAGAAAAACTCTTTTTTCACTGAAAAACAGAATCCAACTGGTCACATATAAGAGGAAGAAGAAAGAGGCAGGCTGGGCCCTGAGTCTACCAAAACTGCAGTCAGGACATGAGAGAATGAGAACAAACACCAGGGCACAGGATGGGTGTGGTCTGAAGGTGCTGGGAGGCCTCATTCAGCCTGCTGGGCCTGAGCCCCAAAACCACAGCCAGAAAGCTTCAACAAAGGAGTAACTCCAGAAGCACAGCCTCTGGGAGACATCCTTCTTAAAAATTTTTTTTTAATTCTGAAAGAAACCTACCAAATGAAATCTAATCCATTAAGAAGTGAAGTAACTCACAAATGGAGAAACTGTATTTTTTAAAAAAAAACTGACAATGAGCATTTACTTTATTAAAGTATCAAGCTATAGCAAAAACTAGAAAACTCCTTCCTAGAATATGAATATCAAGGGAACCTAGAACAATCTTGAAAAACAAGAACAAAGTTGAAGTCACATTTTCTGATTGCAAAACTTACTACAAAACTATAGTAACTGAGACACTGTAATACTCACAGAAAGACATATTTATAGACCCATGAAATAATAGAGAGCCCATAAACAAACCCTCACCGTATGTGGTCAACATGATTATCAACAAGGCTGCCAACACCATTTAACGGGGAGAGGACAGTCCTTTCAAAGAATAGTGCTGGGAAAACTGGGAAATATACATATGCAGAAGAATGAACCTGGGCTTCCCTGCTGGCTCACTGGTAAAGAATCCACCTGCCAATGCAGATGACATGAGTTTGATCCCTGGTTTCGGGAAGATCCCGCACTCCTCAGGGCAACTAAGCCTGTGCACAACTACGGAGCCTGAGCTCTAGAACCCACCAGCTGCAACTACGGAAGCCCTCACACCCTAGAGCCCATGCTCTGCAACAAGAGAATCCACCGCAATGAGAAGCTTGAGCACCACAGCTAGACCATTGCCCCTGCTTGCTGCAGCTAGAGAAAAGCCCAGGTGGCAACAGCCGAACAAAATGAACGAACCTGGACTCTTGCCTAACACTGTACTAAAAAAAAACAAAAACAAAACTCAAAATGGATCAAAAACCAATATGTAAGAGCTAAAACTATAAAACTCATAATTCAGTTCAGTCGCTCAGTCATGTCCAACTCTTTGTGACCCCATGGACTGGAGCACGCCAGGCTTCCCTGTCCTTCACCATCTCCCGGAGTTTGCTCAAACTCAAGTCCATTCAGTCGGTGATGCCATCCAACCATCTCATCCTCTGTTGTCCCCTTCTCCTGCCTTCAATTTTTATGGTCATGATTTTCAAGCCCTGCATCATAATTTTCTTAGTAAATGAAGACATTCTGACTGGAGTGGAATACAGGTTCTGGTACACTTGCAAATGAGCTTGTGTCTGTGTATGGACCTTTTATATAAAAATCTTTTACATGAGGAAGTGTAGAAACACTCACATTACTGATGGACACTGTACAGGCAGAACAGAAGCCTGTCCTGGAGAAGACCAGAGTCCGGGGCTTGTCTCTGAAACAATGGGTGACTTTGGGCAGTGGTGACCCCCGAGGTCAGAGGAATTTAAAATGGGGGTTCCCACCAAACATGGAGGCTCGTAGTCCTGTTCAGACTTACAAACATTCCAGTAAAGAGTGCAGCATAGAAAAAAACATAAATGTATAAGCTTTATGCATTTTATTTGGCAATGATTTCTTGACTATGACACTAAAATCAGACAACAAAAGAAAAAAATGAAAAACCTGGCTGCATCAAAATTTTTAAATGTATGCATCAAAGAAGACTATCAACAGAAGAAAAAGGCAACTCAAAGAGTGGGAGAACACGCTTGTTGAGTCAGGTACCTAATACAGGGTTAATATCCACAATACAAACAGAACTCCTAAAAACAAACATAAGAAAACCGAAAGTGGGCAAAGCACCTGAAAAGACTTCTCTCCAAAGATAAACAAATGACCAATAAGGACATGAAAAGATGCTTGACATTACTAGTTATTAGCGAGATGCAAATCAAAACCACATATATAACTTCATACCCATTAGAAGAGCTACTACTGAAAAGAAAGGAAAAATAGAAAAAACGAAGGGTTGAAGAGGATGTGGACAAACTAGAACCCTCATGCACTTGTGGTGGGAATGTAAAATAGTGCAGACATCGTGTAAAATGGTATGACGGTATTCTCAAGACACTGAACAAAACATCATCAAATAATCCAGCAATTCCACTCCCAGGTATATTACCCGAAAGAACTGAAAGCAGGGACTCAGGCAAGTATTTGCACACCAGTGCTCACAGCCACACTATCTGCAATAGTCAATGTTAGAAGCAACCCCAGTGTCCATCAACAGATGAAAAGCTAAACTATGGCATACACATATGTGGAATATTATTCAGCCCTTAAAAAGGAAGACATTCTGATCCATGCTGCAAGACAGATGAACTTTGAAAGCCTTAAGGTAAGTGAAGTAATGCAGACACCATAGCACAAATGTATGATCTCACTTCTATTTAGTACCAAGAAGATGGAAATTCATAGAAACAAAAGATAGAACTGAGATTATCAGGGGCTTAGAAGAGGCGAGATCAGGATTTAATGGTTACTGGATAAGAGACTCTGTTTGGAACTGAAAAAGTTCTGGAAATTGACAGTGATCATAGTCAGTACTACAATATACGTAATGCCATTGAGTTATACACTTAAAATGGCTAAATGATAAATTTTGTTATGTACATTTTATAATTAATAAAATTTCTTAAATCACAATATTATGCACTATCTGTGAAGTATACCTCCTTAAAGTTGATTGACAAAGGTTATGCTGGGAAAGACTGAGAGCAGGAGGAGAAGGTGGCAACAGAGAATGAGATGACTGGATGGCATTATCGACTCAATAGACAAGAGTTTGAACAAACTCAGGGAGATAGTGAAAGACTAGGAAGCCTGGCATGCTGCAGTTCATCTGGTCATAAGGGCAGAACATGACTTGGCAACTGAACATCAAACAGTAAGATTTTATAAATGTTCACTGTTAGGAGTTCTAACAAAAGGGCATTTTTATACAAAGTGACTAGGAACCAGGCTGATATGTTTGTACACAGCATTTAAGCAATTTATCAGAAGTCACAAAAATTATCTATTGTTCTCTATCCATTCATTCTAATTCTACAAATCTGCCCTGAGAGGAAAAAGAAAAAATAGATAGGCACAAAGATGTAAGCACAAAAATGTTCATCAGTGTATTATTTACATTATGACACTATCCAAAAATAGGGGCGGGGTAAAGAAAATGATCAAATATTCATAGCCTATAAAAAGAGACCTACCACAAAAAAAATTCTGGGCAAAAAAATTAATGACATGAAAAACATATGTTATATAAAGGGAAAAGAGACTTAACAAAATTACACCACATTATTTTTCATTTTGTTTTCCTATATGCAGACCACCACCAAGGGGCAAGCATACCTACTTCAACAGTGATTATCCCCTAGCTGAGTTAAAGACCCTTATCATATGCTGTCAAGGTGATAAGACCTGGATCAGAAAAAGCCTCACTGGAAGAAATAGTATTTGAATGGACAATGAGAGTAAAATAAGACTCTGAGCAGAGGGCTCATCTAGCTATCATTTTCCTCAAATTAAAACTGTTTTACAAGTAAGTGAAAGTCGCTCAGTTGTGTCCGGCTCTTTGTGACCCATGGACTACACAGTCCATGTAATTTTTCAGGCCAGAATACTGGGAGTGGGTAGCCTTTCCCTTCTCCAGGAGATCTTCCCAACCCAGGGATCAAACCCAGGTCTCCCACATTATAGGCAGATGCTTTACCAGCTGAGCCACAAGGGCAGCCCAAGAATACTGGAGTGGGTAGCCGACCCCTTCTCCCGCAGATCTTCCCAACCCAGAGATTGAATTGGGGTCTCCGGCATTGCAGGCGGATTCTTGGCCAACTGAGCTATCAAGAAAGCCCGTTTTACAAGTAAACTTCAATCTAAAAAACAGAAAAAAACAGTAATATCTGGAAAGGATTAAGAATGTCTGTTTTTATAAGTCAGCAGGGGGCACCCCATTCAAAGGTGTAATTTGAGTCTCAGCTGAAGGGTTAGATGATGTTGTTTTCACTGAGCATACCACAATCCTTGTCAAAGTTCAGTAGGCTCAAAAATGACCTAAAAACCCTATTTTGTAATGCCAGAATTAACCTTGGGAGAGTAATATTAGGAGATGTGTAAGAGTAATTATTCAAGAAAGCATTTTGTGGACACCGTTGCATCCCCCATATTTCACCAACATGGAAGAATTCCTCTCCTACCACTGGCCCATTTTACAAAACGCCTTCACCTTCGTGTTTCCATGTGCTTCTCAACAGTAAACTAGGCTTGACAGCACCAACTACAACTTCCACACCCCAAAAATATACTAAGCACCCACTAAGAACCAGGCACCGTACAAGATACCTCATACACCGACTTCATTCAATATTTAATTGTAAAGCATTTATACATGTATAACTGAATTACTTTGCTGTAGACCTGAAACTAACACAACATTGCAAATCAACTACACTTCAATTTTTTTTTTGAATTGTAGTTGTTACCTAAAATCTGTGAACTTGGTACACTATCCTCATTTTACAGATGAGGAAACTGACACTCAACTGTTTTAATAATCTGCCCAGGGGCAGACCTGTGATCCACTCCCACATCTGTCTGAATCGAAAGCACTTTCATCATCCCCCAGAGATTCCCTCAGAAGCTGAGAGTCTCTGAAAGAAACAATCAATCATCTGATCGAGTCTCACTGGTGACCAGAGCACAAAGCCTACTGACACTTTATCTAATGTGCTTTTCACCAAGCTTGCTGCCTCCATATAAGCAAGTACACATCCCTCCATCAGGAGTTTACAGACCATAATCTCATTAGATTTTGTGAACCACCTTAAGGCAAGATAGAGTGGCAAAAGAAAACACCTTAGTGTAACTAAATTAAAACACAGGGATAACTGTAAAGCATTTGATTCAGAATGTTCAAGGGCTTCCCTGGTGGTTCAGTGGTAAAGAATCCGCCTGCCGATGCAGGAGACACAAGTCTGATCCCTGATCAGGGAAGATCCCACATACCTCGGAGCAACTGAGCCTGTGCTCTAAAACCTGAGAACCTCAACTACTGAGCCCATGTGCGGCAACTGCTGAAGCCCACACGCCTGCAGCCCATGCCCTGCAACAATGGAAGCCACTGCAATGAGAAGTCCGCCTGCCACAATGAAGATCCGGCACAGCCAGAAATAAACTAATTAAAATTATTTTTAAAAGAATATTCTAAACAGTAACCATGAAAAAAGTTTTAGAGTAGTTTATATAATCTTAGAATTGTATTTATAATATTAGGATAAGGATAGCTTAGTTGGTAAAGAATCTGCCTGCAATGCAGGAAACCCTGGTTCAATGCCTGGGTCAGGGAAGATCCACTGAAGAAGGGATAGGCTACCCACTCCAGTATTTGTGGGCTTCCCTTGTGGCTCAGCTGGTAAAGCATCCGCCTGTAATGCAGGAGACCTGGGTTTGATCCCTGGTTGGGAAGATTCCCTGGAGAAGGGAAAGGCTACCCACTCCAGTATTCTGGCCTGGAGAATTCCATGGACTGCATAGTCCATGGAGTCCCAAAGAGTCAGACACGACTGAACGACTTTAAATTTCACTTTCATTTTTAAACTTACAGTTGGAATGGTACAGAAAGGACTATGATTCAGAGTTACCATTACTTTAGAATATTTTGTAATAAATATTTAAGAGTATGTGCTTTTAATAAATGTTTTAACTACTTAATAAAATCAGAATAATTTATTAAAATATAAATGTTACTTACATATCCCAGTTTGGAGCTATTCGCAAATGCTGGATTAGCAACTGGAACTAGAATATAAAAATTAAAATGAATTTCAATCACAAAATGAGATAGCAATTGACCACTAAATTAACAAATTAAACCTATATACAAATGAAATGCAAATTCCACACCAGGGAAGTAATTACTTACAAAGATGCAAAAGCACTGAATGTACTGGATAAAAACTAAGAAACAAGTACGTCCAGTTTCTCAACTCAATTCTATTCTCTAAACATGCCACTGCCCCTCACCCCACAAACATAGGTATCAAATAAGAACTGTAACACTACTCTGCAAGAAAATGAACTTAAATTTTTTCAAGGTAGTTCCCCAATGAAGGCCCAGAAAGGAAAATGCTCCAGAACACTAACTCCTTTCTGAGGATGACTTCAAAAGCTCTGCCAAATTCCCATGGTTTCATTGATGAGCCAAGACAGCCCAAGAAATATTATCATCAGAGGAAGAAGGAAAAAGGCTTAGAGACTCAATTCCCCATTCAGTGTCACATCAGAAACCTTGGAATTCACCAGGAAGACCCAGAAAAAGAGCCCCTACTCCACATGGGCAGCTCACTCTAGCAGCTGATGAAAAGATCTCTGTCTTATGATTTCACTGATGAAATAAATCTTACAATTACTACAAGTTAACGTAAAATGCAAGCGGAGTGTTACCAAAGAAGCTCTTCAAAGTCAATGTCGATTCAAATGTTTTTAGATCTAAACATTAAACAGAGGACAATACTGGCAAACCTGTCATCTTGATAAATGACTTTCCCCATTTTAAATAAACTGAATTAGTATTTTAGTGCTTGCTTTTCTCTCTATAGAAATAAAAACGTTGAGTGCAGAAGGCAGGTTGCAAGGACGTGAAAGGAGTATTTGCTTCCCAGGACTTAGGGACCCACCAGGGGCGAGTGGAGGAGCCTGGGGGCCACCTGTCTGTGCCCGGCTGCCACGCACAGGTAGCAGAGGAGATTGAGCTTGGCTCGCGAGGCCCCCGTACTCTTCTCAGTGGAGTCGATCTGCGAGCACACTTGTTGCAGAAAGTCACTCCAATCCTGGTCTTCCAGAAATACTAACTTATCCACTGCAGAAGAAAGAAAATAGTAAAAGTGGGAATTACCCGAAAAAAGATTGTTAAAAATGTTGCAAGAGAAAGTGGAACACAGAATTTCAACAGCTGAAGTGAGGGCAAAGAAAATCCTAACTTTACACTATCAAAACCAAAAAACACTCTAAAGATGTCACTACTTTTAGTTACTCTTCTATAGTCTTCTATTTTTCTACCCATGGAGATGTTTTAAACTATGTCAATGGAAAACTATGCTTAAAAAAACAAGGCAGATGCCTAAATTTAGTAGAATTTTCTTGCAACCAAGAGGATAACAAAATGCAAAGTTAAATAAAACTACTATGAAAAAAACAAGATGGCCTTTGCATAAATAAAGCAACCTAGCCTTAAAATACTGGAAAAGCCAAAATTTCTATAGTTGTTATGAAGTCCCAGTGAAATGACTAGTAAATATAACTAGGTTAATACAGAGCTGAAACCATCTGGGAGTGCCACCTCCAAATGCCTACAAACAAAAGGCAAAAACTGGAAAATGAAATGCCAGCTATAATTAACATAATTTCACATAATCTCTATATTTAAACAAAATAAGCTTTAACAATAATTTCTTAAAATAATTCAAACTAAAGTGGAAAAGGGAAGGAATATTTCGAGATAAACCCCTCTTAGTTTTCATAAATTGTGCTTCTACTTGGAATACTTAAAATGTGAACATATTTTATTTTACATTTACTTTGATTTCAATTTTTAGATTCTACTCCAGCTATGATGAAGAATCTTTCCAGGTCTAGGTTAAAATATAATTTATCAAACAAAATACATCAAAATTCAAGGTATTAAAAAAATTCTTACACTCACCCTAAATAAGACTTTCCATTAGGAAAAAAGAAAAGTAACAATCACCCTTCAAGTCTCTCCAGGCCTACATCACCCCCACAAAAATGAGCCATCTGACTCCAATCTCAACTGCCCCACTCCCTCAGAGAGAAATCTCAATTCTTCCTTATGGTTTCCAACTCTCTGTACCCACAACAGCACGATTAATGTTGGAAATTCAACTGGCTTTGGTCCAGGGCGGGAGAAGGGCCCGCATGCACAACAGGAAAACCCACCCAGCTTCACAGAAACTTTCCTGCTCAGGAGAGTATGTGGCAGCCTGGACCCAGCTGAGTGAGGCAAACGCTGGCACCAGAAGATTCTAGGGGGTTTATACAACAACACCTCAAGAAAACATCCAGCTGGCAGGAAAATAAAAATTTAGCTATTCATAAATAAAATATTCCATTTACAATTACATTTTATATTTGTATTTGTCTGCCATGAATCTATGTGTTTGATAAGCCCTTTAGGATCCTACCTGAATGTGCTGGTAGATGCAATATTTTTGGATCGTATTTAATTGGTGGTTGTTTCATTATCTGTGGTTAAAGAAAAAAACTTTTGAGATGGGTATCTGTCTCCTGATGTATCTCCTATTCAGTTCCATTCAGTCACTCAGTCATGTCCAACCTTTTGCGACCCCATGGACTGCAGCACGCCAGGCTTCCCTGTCCATCACCAACTCCCAGAGCTTCCTCAAACTCATGTCCATCGAGTCGGTGACACCATTACAAATCAATGAGGACAGAGAAGAATAACGTAAAATGCAACACCAAAAAGAACAAGCATTCAACAGAGCCCTTTCAGATTAGTACACAAATACGAGTGATAAGGCATAAGATAAAACCATTTCAGTTGATGTCTGCAGTAAAATAAAACTTCATGGAAAAGAGTCAGTCACCCTCTCTTGGCTTACTCTTAAGCTAATTTACTTCTAGGTTAGAAATTTAATTATTCAATAAATATATATTGGCTACCTGTCAAGGCAAAGCACTGTGCTAAGGGCAAAGGGGGAGACAAACACATAAAAGACATGATCCAACTGCAGACAGCTGACATTCTGGTTGGAAAGATACGACAAACATCTGTTAAACAACAGAAAAAAACATGAAATATTTATATTAGAATGCAAAAATGGCAGAACACAATTACAGACTTCAGAGAAATGTTTCTAGGAAACTAGAGAATCAATAAGGACTTTAGGTTTGATGCAGTCAGGATTTACAGAAGAGCGGGAAGGTGGGCTGAGGTCTTGAACAGAAGACCATATAGTTTTCTCAAGCAAAATGGAGACTACATGTAACAGTTGGATCCATGAGTTTGGGTTAGCGCGGGGGACTTAATTGTGACACTTTTAATTTAAAAATTCAACCCTCGTTTCTATGTCTAACTTTTCCAACAACTCCCTAGGGAGCATTTTTAAAACTTTTGCTGGTAGTATTCTCACCAAAAAATGGCTAACGTCATTTCTAATCATGAGAAATGCTTAGGCAAACCCAATCTGAGGGACATTCTATAAAATACCTACCCAGTACTGTACTCTTCAAAGTATCAAGATCATAAGTGAAGTCGCTAGGTCGTATCTGACTCTTGGAGGCCCCATGGACTGCAGCCCACCAGGCTCCTCCATCCATGGAATTTTCCAGGAAAGAGTACTGGAGTGGGTTGCCATTTCCTTCTCCAGTGGATCTTCCTGACACAGGGATCGAACCCAGATCTCCCACATTGCAGGCAGACGCTTTACCGTCTGAGCCCCCAGAGAAGCCCAAGATCATGAGAGACAAGGGAAGAGTAAGAAATTACAAGACCATGGAGTACAAGGACCGACTGGAGGCAAAAGAACCAACTGCAATGTGGGATCCTGGCACAGAAAAGGGACACCGCTGGTACAAGTGATAAAATTCGAGGAAGTTCAGCAGTTACTAGCACTGTACCCAATGCCAGTCCCCTAGCTCTACTAACCATGCTATGTTCCTGCACAATATTAACACCAAGAGAAGCTGCATACAAGCTCCCCGCCTCTCGCCACCACCTGCCCTGCCATCCTGCCCACCTACGAGAGCCATGGTCTCTCTGTGATCAGCCCCCCACCCCAGTCTGGGGAGCGCTGCTCACTGACACGCGCCTTCACCACACACCAGCAGGGAGAATGTCTGCAGTCGTTCACCTAAGTAAGTATGGGCAGGTGGCAAGAAAGAAAGAAAAGCAGACAACCACAAGAATCAGGGGAGAAGATAAGACTGGGGAATGAAAACGTCACCCAGACTCCAGCTCCAGGGTGGGAGGGTGTCTTTGCATCTTTCCACACCTTCGGATTGTCAATGATTGGGGTGATGACGAGGTCCGAGTCTGTGTAGATAAGCTCTCTCATCCGGGACTCCAGATCCTGCTGACTCATGTGGCCACTTGCAGTCTGGAACAGTAACAAGAATTAAACCGTTTCCGTGACTGTGTGCTCAGCCGCTTCAGTCGTGTCCGACTCTTTGCAACCCTATGTGCTGTACCCTGCCAGGTTCCTCTGTCCATGGCGTTTCCCAGACAAGAACACTGGAGTGGGCTGCTGTGCCCTCCCCTCCAAGCAATCTTCCCAACCCAAGGACTGAACCCTCCCCTCTCTCACTTCTCCTGCATTGGCAAGCAGATTCCTTCCCACTAGTGCCACCTGGGAAGCCCCATGTTTCTGTAACTAGTGAAGAGCTTTAAGTGGCGGAGTCAGTAACATGCTAAGTAGACGCCACTGAAAAAGGTCACTTGTATCAATGGACCACCACTGCTCTTCAAAACACTTCCACAGACAGTCTCATCTGATCTTCACGAAAACCCTGTATCTACTGTATTATTATTCCTGTTTTATAGGTGAAAAAAACAAAGCTCAGAGAAAGTAGCTGACTTGCTTGTGTTCACCACAAAGGTTGGTTAGAACTGCGAAACATATATTCTATACTCTGATGTGCTCAACTATGAAGAGGCAAACTGATCTTACAATTATCAGCATGTTTTTTATCTTTCATCCACCAAAAATTAATCTGTTTATTTCCACTTTACCAAATAGTCAATATAAAGCTTAAATTACAGTGTAAAAAAATTCCAGGCTGAAGTAAGTATTAAACGCCTATATCTTTATAAACCCCAAAGTGGAATTGATACATAATGAAAACGAATAACTAGATGTTCCCCTTCAGTTATTTGAGATGCTTCTTTGTGCTCTTCTTAAATTCAACTTTAATTCCTAGTGCTATACCTTAAGTATTTCACATTAAAAAAAAAATTGGATTTATGCATTAAGAACATCCACTGAAACTCTGACCAACAAACTGATAACCAGAAAATCAAATCAGTAAAGTGAAAAATAAGTAGAAAAAGAAACTATTCAAAACTAAGGTAAAGGACAGAATAATCAGCTAATAAAGTTCCTGGAAACCACAACCACCACTTTGCAACTTAGAAGACAGAATATTAGAGACTCATGATGAATTAGGAGGAACTTTTGTAAAAAATGTTTTAAAAAAATTTACTAACACAGACTTTCAAAACAGAAAAACTCAAAAGAAAAGCCAAGGTGAAATCAACTGAAAAGCTTTTAAAATAATCTAAGAATTAGTAAAGTATACCAATTAGAAAACTATGTATGTAAAAATTTCATACATATACAGTGAATGTATGCACAAAAAAAAGGTTATAAAAATACCATATATCATTGACTGTAGCAAAAAAAAAAAACTGTTAAATGCTCAGGAATAACTTAACCAAAAAGTACAATAAGGTCTTACTTATTAAAGGAAAAAAAACTTTTTAAAATTATGTTCCTTTGTTTAAAAATAAACATACATGTATAGAACGAAAAGTAGTTACATCAAAATGTAATCAGTGGTAACTCTAGGTAGTAATTAAATTACAAGCAGTTTTTTATTCTCTTTGCCCTCTTCTACATTTTCCAAGTTTTCTAAAATTTTTGTAATTGAATAAAAAGCATCAGGTATCATTTAAAGAATTATAAAATGTAGGCTCCCTTATAGTAATTCTATAATTAGTGCTTGAATACTCTCAATATGATGATTACATACACTCCTCTACAATAAACTTCTGGCAAAAGAAATTCAACATTTACCACATTTCAGAATGCATCTTTTTACTTTTATACTGATTCCATATCTCACATCTAACAAAACATGTATTAGCACAGGGAGATTTTATTATACCCTTTTACCATTTCATTTCAATGCAAAATTAAGTTTCACATGGTTCAAATGCATTTCACATTACATAAAAATTATGGTAAGAATTAAAAGCAATTTTATCTGCCAAGCTAAAAGTACAATAAAAGGTAACATGGGAAAATATTAAATTCAAAATATTTCTGCATTTGAAACAACTATGACTGAAAGAAACTAAAGAAGGTCTAAACAGAAAAGAAACTAAAGAAGGTCTCAGACTAAAGAAGGTCTAAGTAGAAAGAGAGCCCATGTCCGTGGAAGCAACTGTACACTGCTAACATGGCGATACTCCCCAAACTGACCTAGATGTGCAACATGATTGTTCTCACAATTCCAGATGGCTGCTTTTCAAAACCTGGTGAACCGATCCTAAAATTCCGATGGAAATTTAAGAGACCCAGAATAGACAAAAAAAAACAAACCCTTGAGAAGGAACGAAGTCAAGAATCATACTTTCTAATTTCAAAACTTACTAAAAAGCCAAGGTGCCCAAGACACTGTGCTACGAGCATGAGGCAAGAATCAGCCGGTGGGATAGAACTGAGAGTCCAGAAGCAAACTTTGGTTTAAGTTAATTAATACTCAATAGGGCTTCCCTGATAGCTCAGCTGGTAAAGAATCCTCCTGCAATGCAGGGGACTCGGGTTCAATTCCTGGGTCAGGAAGGTCCCCTGGGGAAGGGATAGGCTACCCACTCCAGTATTCTTGGGCTTTCCTGGTAGCTCAGCTGGTAAAGAATCCTCCTGCAATTCACAAGATCCTGGTTCTACTGCTGGGTCAGGAAGTTCCCCTGGAGAAGGGAATGGCTACCCACTCCAGTATTCTTGCCTGGACAATTCCATGGACAGAGGAGCATGATGGGCTGCAGCCAGTGGGGTTGGAAAGAGTTGGATATGACTGAGTGACCAAGCACAATATTCAACGAGAGTTCCAAGACGTTTAAATGGGAAAGGAAGAGCCTTCTAAACAAATGGTGCTGAGGCAACTGGATATCCACATGTAAACCAAAGAAGCTGGATGGACCTCCTTACCTCATGCCGTATACAAAAACTAACTCAAAATGGATTGCAGACCGACATGTAAGAGCTAAACAGAGAAATAAACGGCAACTGTTTCTCCGTTATGACACCAAGAGTACAGGCAATAACAAACACAAAAAAGATAATTTGGTCTACATCAAAATTTAAAACATTTGTAGTTCAAAGGACACCATCAAGAAAGTGAAAGAACAATTCACAGAATGGGAGAAAATGTTTATAATCATATATCTAAAATATATAAAGAATTCCTACAACTCAATAATGGGCAAAAAGATTACACAGACATTATTCCAAAGAAGATATAAATTCCCAATAAGCACTCAAACAGCTGCTCAGTATTATCAGCCAACAAAGAAACAAAATCAAAACTACAGTGAGATATAATTTGATACCCACTAGAGTGGCTATAAAAGAGAGACCATTGCAGCACTGTTCACAATAGCCAAAAGGTTGAAGCAACCCAAGTGTTTATCGAAAGATGAATGAATAAATTGGTACAAACACACAAAGGAATATTTTTCAGCCTGAAAAAGGAATGAAATTCTGATACATGCTACAAGATAGATGGACCATGAAGACATTATGCTAAGTGAAACAGACCAGATACGAAAGGACAAATATTGTGATTCCACTTACGTTAGATTACTAGGCAAATTCACAGAGGCAGAAAGTAGAATTGTGGTTGTCAGGGTCTGGGAGAATGTGGGGAATGCGGAGTACTGCTGGTTACGTAAAAATGTGACTGTATCAACACTATATGCCACTGAACTCACTCTAAAAAATGGTTAAAATGGTAAATTTTATGTAATGCATATTTTACCACAATTTTAAAATCTACTGACTGGCAGGCAGTAACAAGTTAAGTATGTGAAAACTGGAACCCTCATACACTGGTGCTGAGAATGTAAAATGGTGCAGCTGCTTTGGAAAACAATTCGGCAGTTCTTCAAAAGGTTAAAAAGAGTTACCATATGATGTAGCACAGAATACACACCCACACAAAAATGTACACAACCGTTCACAGCAGCATCACTCAGGAGAGTCAAAAGAAGAAAACCACCCAAATGTCCACAGGCTGATGAATGGAAACATAAAATGTGGTATATACAACAGAATATTATTGGGCAATAACAAGGAATACAGTATTGATACAGGTTACAACTTGGATGAATCTTAAACAACATTAAAGTAAGAAAAAAAGACAGTTACAAAGGATCACATATTGTATGATCCATTTAAAGGAAATATCCAGGACAGGCATATTTATAAAGACAGAAAGCAGATTAGTGGTTGCCTAGAGCAAAATGTTAGAGAAACTGGAAGAAAACAGGAGTGACTGCTAATGGGTACACAGGGCTTCTCGTGGGATGATGAGATTAACTGTGGTGATGACTGCATAACTCTGAGTATGCTAAAAGCCTCTGAATTATACACTTTAAATAGGTGAATTGCATGGTGTGTCAATTACATCTCAATACAGCTGCTATCAAGAAAACACCTTTGAAGCACCTCTCTCTTAAGTATTTACTAGAAAAACCAGTGATAATCAAGGAAGATGACTTAATTGTAAATCTTACAATTACAAACATAATTCACAGATTAACTTGCAATTATTCTTGTGAGTCTCTGTTATCTTGCATAAGAAAAAAAATTAAAAATTCTATCTTTGCTTACTTTGGTCAAGGGAGACGTCTTCTGTGGTGAATTCTGAGTCACAGCATCACCAGGACTTAATGCCACTGCAGTGCTGGTTCTTGGAGTAGGACGCGAACTGAAAAATGCACACCAGTTAACATTATTCAAGGGGCTTCCCAGGTGGCACTAGTGGTAAAGAATCCGCCTGCCAATGCAAGAGACACAAGAGACCCTCATTCGATTCCTGGGTAGGGAAGATCCCCTGGAGTAGGAAATGGCAAGCTGCTTTAGTATTCTTGCCTGGGAAATACCAAGGACAGAGGAGCCTGGCGGTCTACAGTTCATGGGGACACAGAGGCAGACACGACTGATCAACTGGGCACGGCATGGCATGCTATATACAGTATTTTGTTTTAACCAGAAGCTTAAAAATATTATTTTTTTAATGTCTGCTGATCTAGGCAGGATTTACATTAATAAAGTAGCTCAGATATTCTACAAAGCATGGAAAATGTTTATAACTTTATTTCATAAAATGTTTAAACTGGCAAATTACTTCGGTACCTACTTAAGTAACAAGTTATAATCCTCATGTTTTTAATGATTCCTCCCACACTTACCAATGGATGCCATGCTCTGGGGGCCACTCCATTACATCCGGGTCTCTGAGTTTGAGTTTTTGGCATTTTATGAAATTCTTCCATTTAAATCATTATGGTCTTTTTGTGATGAATTCCTTCAAATTTCCAAATATCACCTCTCCTACACTTACATGCCTTTGTATTCATTCATTAAACAAGCACTTACTTAGGTCACAAAATTTACCAGAGATTGTACAAATTTTTTTTTAACTGAACGTAAAATGCCTAAGATGTATAGACAAACTTAACATACTTTATATTTAAATATGGGTAAAACAAATCAGGAAATTTTAGTTTATTATTATAACTCCTATGTCATGAAATTAAACTATGAGGCTGAACCTATAAATGAACTATAACACTTAATATTTACACATTATTAAAATTTTAAATACACTGGCCTAATCACTTTAAATACCATTCTGATTTTATTATTTCGATGATTACAAATATTGTTTAAGCCTCCCAGATAAAACTATATTTAAAGAAAAACACAACCTGTTCTTTCCTATAAATCTCTGTCAAATAAAGGAGCCCGACTTCTGAAATTTTAAATTCAATTTTACTTGCAGTAGAAGTACAAAATAAAGAAGTTTTAACCCTTATACATAGAAAAGTTAAAATGGTTTGGTTAAAATTTTTAAAAATACAAAGGGAAGTCTACATTCCACTGGCCAGCACCAACAGTAACTTGCAAGGAGAGCAAAATGGGAACGTGGCATTTACCGCTGTCCTTTATTTCTGTGCAACATGGTTCGCCACCAGGACGAGACACTTTAAGAAGACTTAGCTTTCACCTCCCATAGACTCCTTACCAGTCTGTTATTTTACGTACCTTAGAAGAAACATGGACTCATTCAATTGACCCCCAAGGGCACTCTTAGGCCGCAACTCAGATGGATTTTCTGTGGCAGGAAGGTAAAATAATATCCATAAGTGAACAAAAATATGAGCAGGGCATGATGTAGACAGAGATTTGAAGAGAAAGATAAACAAATCAGGGACTGCCAAAAACAGTGTTCGGAGCAGCAGGAACAAGGTCAAATGAAAGCTCACCTAGCCTGAAGGAGTGACTGAGTCGCTGCCCACTCTTCCCCCCCTTTGCCTGTCCACCTTGAGGGCTCTTCAGAAGCTCCGTGGCATCTTGGAACCCGGAATATTCCATGTTTCCGCTGTTTAACAAGAGAAACTCAACTCAGTCAAGCTCACTACTGAGCTTTCTATAGTTTTCTGTGTCGAGCAAGAGGCTGGCAAAGATACTTAAGTTTCACAGGACATTTGGCCAAACTATGGAATTAGAAAGGTAGTATTTTTCATTGAGTAACTAAAATGAGCACTTACTGTGTGCAAGGCACTGTACTAAGAAGCCTATAAAAGTCATCCCTGAAAAATAAATAGCAGCGGGCCAACAGGAGAAGTAAACCAGCACTCGAAGTATCAGTGAGCCAGTAGTGAGCTTCCCTTTTATTTCTGCCCTTCCAGTGTTGCGAGCCCTGGGCTCAAAGCAGCCCCACAAGAAGTCCTCTATCTCTGTTCCAAGGAACAGGAAAGGGAATGCCTAAGGGTCAGAGCAGGGGAAATACCCTAGTTTTTTGTTTGGTTTTTGGTTTTTCTTATTCCCTTTTGTCCTGCCCCAGCCTCCAGGTAATCTTGCAGCAGACACTTCTGGCCCACGCCTAAAATCCTGAGGGAGGAACATCTTCCTAACCAGAGAGCTATGATCCCAAGAAGGCGAGACAAATCTCTCTGTTCTCTTATTTTTCCTCTCTCATCATCCTCCTGTCACTTGGTCCCAAACACATCCATCAAGACATAAAAACATACACCATGAGTAAGTGTGGTTCACAGTGGGAAGGCAAGGTTGCCTCAATATTTGAAAACCAATTTATATAAGAGTTCATAAAGAGAATCTAAAGGAGAGAAACCACATGATCGTATCTACTGATACAAAAAGGCATTTGATGTTTCCAACTGAAAAGGGGAAGTTACAAAACCCTCCAGCTCATCGTGTGTGTGTGTGTGTGTGTGTGTGTGTGTGTGTGTGTGAGTGAGAAAAGGGGAAGTTACAAAACCCTCCAGCTCATTGTGTGTGTGTGTGTGTGTGTGTGTTGTACCCAGTTCTTGCAACCCTGAGGTCTGTGGCCCTCCAGGCTCCTCTGTCCATGGGGATTCTCCAGCCAAGAATACTGGAGTGGGTTGCTATTTTCCTTCTCCAAGGGATCTTCCTGATCCAGGGATTGAACCCATGGTCTTGCATCTCCTGCACTGGCAGGCAGGTTCTTTACCACTAGCGCCGCCAGGGAAGCCCATCGTACTTAATGCAGAAAGGCTGAATGCATTCTAAAATCAGAAACCAGGCAATGGCGTTCATTCTCATCACCCCACATTCACTCAGTTCAGTTGCTCAGTCGTGTCCCACTCTTTCATTACCTCATTCATTACCATGTTAAAAAAAAAAAAGTCCTTGCAAGGCCAGTAAGAAATAAAAGGCATACAGATCAAAAGGAAGATGGCATACTAAGGTGCGAGGTGTCCTAGGACTTGCTGACACTGATGGACAAGGACCCAAGCCCAGGTTTCTCTACTCTTCATAGAGCCTGAAGTGTGAAAACAGTTGAAGCTCAGTGGATCACAGAAACCAAAGTTTGAGAGAGACCTTATATAGAATTCAGATTTCTCTATCTAGTACACTAAATTGACAAGATTAAAATTAAGAATCAAACAACCATTATCACTGAACAAAGTGGAGAGAGGAGGAGTCGATTATCTGGACTCATCTACTTCTCATAATGTTCTTTTCAAAACACCATCACTTCTCTAAGTGTCCTGGGCTAAGAAGATTTAATAATAAAAATGAAGTATATTAGTCAGGATGAGCTAGGTTATGCTGTGGTAACATGATCCACAAATACTAGTGACTTAGAATCTCCTAGCTTTAGGTCTCACTTGCGCACACAGCCACCACAGGCTGGCAAGAAAGCTATGCTCATCGTGGTCACTAAAGACCCAGCCTGAAAGCAACTCCATTCGGACATTTTCTTCCTGATCACCTCATCAGGAGAAAGAAATGTAGCAAATCACACACTGGCTCTTTGAGTTTCTACCCAGAAATAACGCATCACTTCTGCTCGCATTTCACTAGCCACAGCAAGTCACAGGACTGCACCTAATTTCAAAGTGGGAAATGAGCTCTGCCATGTGCTGACAAGGTGGGAATCCAGGTGAACACAACTAATGACTAAGGTACTAAAACCCTGTCTGGAGAATAAACAACTGACCAGAAAATGAGCAAAGTCAAGCACACAAAATGTCATGACTAAACTCTTTAAGCAACCCTTAATTAAACAAATGCTTGATTTTCTATTATGAAAAGCACAGAAAGTCACATCATTGAGGCTGCAATCATAGTAATGGGCCAAGTGTTTAATAACCACGCCCCACACACAAAGATCAGCTTGTACTACCTGACGTTGGAATCCTCAGTGCTTGAGTCCTGATCATTTCTAGCAAAAGCATCCTTCCAAAATGAATGCTGCAGCAGGTCTGCCCAAGTCAGTCTTTATAAAACAGAAATGTTTAAAATCTATTTTAACATGATTTACCATGGAGAATTCCCAGGACATGTCCTAGTTACACATATCAGATTTGTTTCACATATTCCTTTTTATTATCTTTTAATTCTTTTCTTAATTTTTAACTGGAGGGTAATTGCTTTATAATATTGTGATGGCTTCTGCCACACAACAATGTGAATCAGTCACAAGTACACGTCTCCTCCCTCCTGAACCCCCTATCCCCTAACCCACCCCATATGTTGTCACAGAGAACCCCACTGAACTCCCTATGTATACAGCAACTTCCCATTAGCTATCTATTTTACATACGGTAATAGACATGTTTCAGGGCTACTCCTCAATTCATCCCACCCTCTCCTTCCCTCGCTGGGTCCAAAGTCTGTTCTCTATATCTGCATCTCTATTCCTGCCCTGCCAATTTTGTAACTTCACTTTTTTTTTTTTTTTTGTAACTTCACTTTTAGAAGTTCATTCAGAAATAAGCAAGATTATCAACTTCATGGCTATACACACTCACACTTCTGTTTAGGAATCAAAACATTATTTAATTAGATCACCCACATTAAGATAGCTTCAGGCCATATCTGAAAACTGGACTCACTTTCAAAGCATTAAGTATTACTACTGATCAATTATACCTGAGGTATACTCAGACTCAAAATGATTAAGCCTAAAATTCAAAAAAGATAGTAATTTATATCTAACTATTCAAAATTTATGAAATGAAATTCAAACTACTTTGGTAGAAATTAAAATACAAGCGATAAAGAATTGGCTGCCACAAGTATATATCCCTTTTATAGAAATGGCTCCTAAAATTCACTAACAATTAAAACTGCCAATAAAATGGAATTTCTTTTTTTTTTTCATTTATTTTTATTAGTTGGAGGCTAATTACTTTACAATATTGTAGTGGGTTTTGTCATACATTGACGGAATTTCTTTTTCATCTATCAAAGTAGCAAAAAATGTATAAGATCAACAAAGCACCCACTGTATTTAACAATAGGAGGGAAGGAGCTTTCTAAAATTGCTGGAAGCATAAACCTGCCCATGTTCCTGGGATCAGCAAATGTGTCCATATTTTTAATGTTCTTATTAGCCTTTGGCCAGCAAACCCATCTTGAGAAACTTATTCAAAGGAGATAACTTCTTAAGTGAACAACAAAGAGAGACAAAAACATATTTACTGTAGCAGTCGGTATATATGATGCTCTAAATCAAGAAGCACTCTCAAAAAAAAAAGCACTCGAAATATTGTTATCATACGTTATTGCATGTACATTCAGCGGCCATTTAAAATGACCAAGTGAAAAAATAAAATGATCAAGCAGATATATAGAGAAACTACATTATGGGGTGGTCCCATTCACACAAAAAAGTATTTCATATGCAATATAAATACATAAAAATGTATCCTAAATAAGGTCCTAAATTAGCTAAATTAAGCATATTTATATCTTATCCAAAAAGTCTGGGAGATTATCCACCAAAGTAACACTTATCCTAAAAGCATTCTATTGCAAGTACAGCAGTATCTTACAATTTATTCAGGTATAAACATTTTCTTCTGTAGTTTCTCTCATATTTAATGCTGATACATTGCATGTTATACTAAATTTATTCATTTTACACCCTGAAGTAGAGACCCCAAACATTTGTCGAAAACCTCAAGATATCTAGTGCGAGAACCAGAAACTAGTCTCTCCTGTCTTCCAGGCCAGGGAGACCCCCGCCTTCACTCCCTACTCCCTTCCGCCCTCCCCTACTCTGTAGCGTAAGGATTTCTAACTTTCTGCCATCCCTGCCACACAGAAAATTCACACTGTGCCTGCGATCTGCCACTTGACATTCCCAGTATGACAGGAATATCATATTGATAAATGACATCACATTAAAATAGGGCCCTGTTAAGTCATTATCACATTAAGTATCTTGACAGCACATCCACAGTGAGGTAGTCTAAGACAGTTTTAGCCTGAAACCCACAATGGAAACAAAAAAGTGTACTCCTTGGATTTTGGGAGTTACAAGAAAATCTGTCAAGCTATGAGGCAACTACGTGCTACACTAGAGGAAAAACTGACTTTTAAAATGTCTCCTGATTAAAAACACCTGCAAACAGAGCAGCCACTCAGTGTAGACTCTCATTTCTTTTTCCCCCCCAAAAAAGAGAGATCATTTGAACAGTTCTTTCTATAATAAGAAGAGTACAATTTTAGAAGTATACTAAAGGAAAAAAAAAAAACATTCCACTGCTCATTCTTATTAAAATATTACCCATACGTACCTTTTCTGAGGGTCTTTTTGAAGCAAACCATCAAGCAAATTAATAAAATCTGAAGAAGCTTTAGGACAAGAAGAATCTAGACACAAAATAATGCCCCAAAAAGAAAGAAAAGTGATAAGTAACTGAAAACACACCCTGCATCAACATTATAATAGCAGCATTTTAAGCACATCAATTATTTTTAAAAGAACACTGAATACATGAATAACAATAAAGCCTCCATTTAATGGAGGAGGGAACAAAAATTTAAAACTTTTTCCCTGGACCACAATAACACATGTACCTCAAAAACTAAGTTCTGACTAACCTCTAAACTTTCTCTTTACAACCCCAGTAACGAACATGAGCTCACACCCTTGTCTTCAACTATTAATTATGCTTCATTTTCTGAGGGATTCTTAACTTAACCAGCTTTGCTTGATAATATACTGTGACTACAGTACTTGTAACCCCACTTTATTTTAAAGATTTTTTTTAACAGGAAAAGAATAAACATCACAATATTATGATACTGTCAAATTCCATTCATCTCCAAGTGTTCTTTTTATATTGGACAGATGCATACCTTGGTCAAATTATCAGTCTATAATTAAAAGAAGTGGCCCAGAAGATGATGGCCAAAGCCATCAAAACAGATGGTGCTATTAGGCACTGTGGCCACAGTCTGAACAAGATCCCTGTGAAATAATTACCCTTGGGCCGCCAGTGGTTTTCTTGCCCAGACTTTTGATACCTTCATTCTCAAGATTTCTTTACCCTGCATAAAAGTCTTCAACTTATACAAGAAAACAATACTCAATGCTATGAGTATTTAAATAAGTAAAAAATCAGAAGTCATCATTATAGGAAAAAGGAATGACTGATTTCTATGAAAACTAAAGTTAATTTAAAAAAAGAAAGAAAGAAAGAAAGAAACACTTTTTAAGAAATATAGACCCCTTTCAAAATATCAAGATTTTTTGGTTTTTTTCACCTAAGATGATTCTTAAAATACTGAAAATATTCTGCATTCCTATTTCTTCCATCAATTATTGAGGATTTTTTTTTCTTTTAAAACTCACAACCTTATTTTTCATAAAGTCTTATATTCATTTTGGGGTCTTAAGATTCACATCTTTTGAGGTATGTAGCCAAGTGTTTTATTATGTCTGTACCTTATTTTTCTTTTCTTTCCTTAAAATTAATAATAGTAGACACATTAATTACAATTTGTATGATTCAATTTTCAATACTTTTAAAACACTGCAACCAAATCTAGCTTAAAAGCTTGAGCTTATCAGGGTAGCATTCTGATTTCTCAAGACACAAGACTGAGAAATGCTTGATTTGTTCCTATTCAAACACTACACAGAATTAACTACATGGGACATGAGTACATATTAAGTAAATGGTACAGACATATGAACACACCAAAACGACATAAAAGTTTGAGTTTTAAATCTTTAAACTACATTTCTTTTGATATAGGAGGACAAAATAATTTGTATTTTTAAATGAGGGAACTTAATAGTACTATGCTTTCCATTTCAGCATCTTTTTAAAAATGGCAAAGGGAATACTAACATTTCTAAAAATACCAATTTGTGACTATTCAGAAAACACAAATTTGAGGGGTTATGAATCAACAGAAACACTCTGGGATAAAAGTGCACCGTTGGTCCATGTAGTAAATTGACTACATTTACAACAAAAAAGAAATCCTACCTTTTGGAATAGGTGGCAAAGGATCTTCATAACAAATCTTTTCAATTAGTTCTGAGACACATTCTGAGAAGAATGGAGGCTTTCCTTAAATCAAACGAAAACTTGCAAAATTAAACAACAGTTTGCTACTATCAATAATTCTTAATGAATCTCAACTACAGACAATTCAAGACTACATAATTTATAGGAAAAATATACACATACAGCATAATTAATTACTGAATGCTGAGTATACACCAGGCACACTGTCTATACATTTTTATATTTCTGCAACTGAAAATTTATCATCCTAAAAATACAAAATTCACTTATGGATAACCATACTCCAAGGGTTGCATGGGCCATTGGACACATCTGAAAATTCATAGTCAAAGGTACCTTTACAAGATTTTCTACTAATAATCAGTTTTCAACAATTAGGCATATTTCAACATTTTCCAAATGATTAGCATAAAAATACCTCCTTCCTAAAAAACCTGCACATGCTGAGACAACCATGCCAGTCAGCCAAAATTAGTATATAGAAAAATTTAGAAAAATCAGCTTCTTCACTTCTTATAGGTAAACTCTTTGCAAACTACATATGTAACCATTATGTATGTGTGTCCAGCTCTGATTTTAAACTGAACCAGAATATAATCACCTGAAAACATTTCATAGAGCAGGCAGCCCAAGGACCAGAGGTCACTGGTGATGGAGAAGTCGGTACCCCTCACAATTTCTGGAGCTGTATAGATAAGAGATCCTAAAAATAAAGGTGAAAGGACAGTTTTGTCAGGCATTCGTACTGTTGTCAACATGTAGGAAAGACTAGGTTAAATGAAAAAAGATCGGAGAAAATGCACATGAATAAATCTTCATGCATATTTTACATTTTTATATGTTTTCTAATTTTAAGGTCCCACTTGCCAAGAGGGCTTCCCTGGTGACTCAGTTGGTAAAGAATTCACCTGCAATGCAGGAGACCCGGGTTCCATCCCTGGGTTGGGAAGATCCCTTGGAGGAGATCTTGGCGACCCACCCCCGTATTCTTGCCTGGAGAATCTCCATAGACAGAGGAGCCTAGCATGCTGCAGTGCACAGGATTGCAGAGAGCAGAACGACTGAGTGACTAAGTACAGCACTTGCTAAAAATACGCGCTTTCACAGTCCCTAAGTCGTGTCTGACTCTGCAACCCCACAGACTGCAGCACACCAGGCTCCTCTGTCCTCCATAACCTCCCAGGGTTTGCTCAAATTCAAGTCCACTGAGTCAGCGATACTACCTAACCATCTCATCCTCTGCTGCCCCCTTCTCCTTTCACCTTCAATCTTTCCCAGCATCAGGGTTTTTTCCAACAAATTGGCTCTTTACATCAGGGTCCAAAGTATTAGAGTTTCAGTTTTAGCAACAGTCCTTTCAATGAATATTCGGGGTTGATTTCCTTTAGGATGCACTGGTTTGATCTCTCTGCTGTCCAAGCGACTCTCAAGAGTCTTCTCCAACACCATAGTTCAAAAGCATCAATTCTTTGGTGCTCAGCCTTCTTTATGGCCCAACTCTCACATCCATACATGACTACTGGAAAAACCATAGCTTTGACTAGACAGACCTTTGTAGGCAAAGTGGTGTCTCTGCTTTTTAAAATGCTGTCTAGGTTTATCATAGCTTTCTTTTAAGTAAGCATCTTTAAATTCCATGGCTGCAGTCATCATCCACAGTGATTTTCAAGCCCAAGAAAATAAAACCTGTCCCTGCTTCCATTCTTTCCCCTTCTATTTGCCATGGGTTGATGGGACTGGATGCCAATGATCCTAGTTTTTTGAATGCTGAATTTTGTGCCAGCTTTTTCACTCTCCTCTTTCACCTCATTGAGAGGCTCTTTAGTTTTTCTTCACTTTCTACCGGTAAAGTAGCAGTATCTGCATATGTGAGAATGTATTGAAATATAAAGCTTTTGAATGGTCACCTGAGTAAGAGGTATGTCACACTGACGTGTCTTCTTTTAAATTAACAATCCAGATAGTTGTAAGAAAAGGACCTTTGACTGTTATCAACAATATCTTGATTAGAATAGATTAAGTTATATACAAGTCAGCACTCCAAATTCTCACTGGCTTAACAACACAAGTTTCTTCATCCTCAAACTACACATCCCCTACAGGTCAGCCAATGGGCTACGACCTTCACAGTGAGTCCATCCAAGACCCAGGCTACATTTCAATACATGCTTCCTCAGTCAGCAAGGTAGGCAAAGAATGTGGTTAACTTAACACTGGCTCTTGAAACTCCCAGCTCAAAGAGACTTCTGTGCACCCCTGGGGAGCGTGGCAGGGCAATGCAAACCTACTGTGTGTCCAGGAGAGGAGCAGGGGGCCATCTGGTCAACAGTACAAGTGTTTACCACGTACACTGGACAGAGTTTAGTATTACCCAGAAATCCAAGTTCCAGGGTTAGAAAGCACCCCTGCTTACCGACATGAACAGCTGAGACCTGGAAAGTACCCTCACATCCTCTAAGCCACAGAGTTGGGCAGAACACCTGCCAAAACCCAGGGCTTTCTATCTTCCTATGAGAATGTCCTTCCCATGAAGAGAGTCATCACCAGCCACCAGGAAAGAGGTTAACATACCCCCCTCATGGGGACTGTTCTTGGATTAAGCTCAGAAGTGACCAAGCATCACTGCTAAAAACTGACATTTCTCTCCAACACAGCCCTCTTCCCCTTTTGAAGGGACTATTGCAAAAGGTACATTCCTGAAACACACTGCCCTCTTTGTCTTCTGTAATAAAAGCATAGTCTACAATACTCATTTTCACAGGATGCCAGTCATCCCATGGGAAGATATTTGGGGATTTTAAGAGCCTTCTTCCTGGGTATGAAATTTTACTTCAACACTAACCCTGAAAGTTAAATTTCTTTCCTCATATTTGTGGGCCTCTGGTTGATGTGCTGCTCCCCATCACGTTATCTCATTCTTCTCATCAAAGCCATGTGACCACCAGGCCCAGGGATGCCGCCCTCTCTCCCAGAGCCTTTTGCTTTCTGGTGAGTCTCACCGGTCCAAAGTCTCAAGTACTGCACCAAGAACTTAAGGAAAAAAGATCTTTACCACTTCTATCAAAAGTTCTCATATAAGAAATTATGACTTACTGGTCAGGGAACTAGGATCCCACATGCCACATGGCATGGTCAAAAGAAAAAAAAAGTAGGAAAAGAAAGAATTTGACTTCACACTCTCCCCTCAAGCACAGTGAGCTAACAGCCTAGGCCCCCTCTCACTGTCAAAACCACCTCCCAAGGATGCATCCCTAAAAATCTTTCATACTTGAAGAATATTAGCTACTTAACAATGTTGAATATGTACGGAGCTACTGGTGTGTGCCAGACACCGGTGTTAAGTGCTGAGGATACAGCAGGAAGGGAGACAAAATCCCCTTCCTTACGTTCTAATGAGCGGTCAGTGATGAAGCGAAGGAGGCTTTTTCAGAGGTTCCCTGTGCTTTAAAAGGCATTAGATTCTCAGGGAAAACTTTAGGTCGTAGACAAAGCCATCCATAAATCCAGGCTTCTCCTGGTCCTTATCATTTATTTTCAATACATCATTTGACTGGCAACATAAACAGTGTATATTTTCTCCAAAACACGTGACTTGGGTGGCCCACCACTGGAGTTCTGACCTTGAAGCTCGCCTCATACCTTTCACTCTACTTTTCCTGTTTTTCTTCACTACATTTTCCCCGCTGTCACCTCCTCCTTCTTCTGCTGCCACCAAGGTGAAGAACTCTTCCAAACTTTCACCTTCCACTTTGGCCAAGCAAAAATTACTAAACTTCAGTGTTCCAGGCCCTTCCAAGAGTATCTATAAAGGTAAAGAAACAAATGTGTTCAAAAGCAAATTCAATATAATTTTCATTTCCATCTGTACCTCTTATAATCTCACTGCAGAACCTTGAGTATTGACTTTCTCGCTTCATCACAACTCAGAAAATTAAACACAATTTTTTTAAAAGAAGATGCTGTGCTCAGTCACTTTAGTCATGTCCAGCTCTGTGCAATCCTATGGACTATACCCCGCCAGGCTCCTCTGTCCATGGGATTCTCCAGGCAAGAATACTGGAGTGGGTTGCCATGCCCTCCTCCAAGGGATCTTTCCGACCCAGGGATCGAACCGGGTCTTCTGCAGTGCAGGAGGGTTCTTCACTGCTGAGCCCCTGGGGAAGCCCCAAGAAGCAGCTTAGGAAATATAAATCCAACACTAATAGAATCAAGTATTAAATTCTCCCTTCTCTGATGCAGACGAAAAATGTGTCATAAAACCACAGAGGGAAACAGCAGTCTTTTGGGAAAGATGAAGAATGTCCAGGAAACAATCTATTCACGAACCCTCAGTGACAGCTGAAAGAGGATTTGGAAACCCACCAGTCCTAGGGGTTGTTTATTTAAATGAGGAAGTGTGATTTAGGGTTCAGACTGAGGGTTCTTAAGTTAGAGACCTAGATTTGACCCCTAGGTTCACCACTTACTGGCAGTCTAACCTGCAGAAATTACTTAGCCTTTGTAAATCTCAGCCTCGTCACCTATAAAATGGGGAAAGTGATACTTCAGATAGTTTTAAGGACTGAAGTTATACATAATGCAAAGGGCTTCTGACCGTGATGGGCATGTGAAAAGTGCTCAAGTCTGCTAATATAACTTGTGATTAGAAGTTATCTGTTGATTATTGAAACTATACCAGGAACCAGTGTTCTCTGACCTTTATCTTTTCCCTCCCTCGCAAGGGGCTTTTTGATCCTCAAAAGCAATTTAAAGTTTACTCTTTACTTCTAGTCACAACAACTAGTCCCTCCCCTGAGAGTTTCTGATTCAACAGGTCTGGGGTGAGGCCCATGACCTGCATTTCTAACAAGTCCCAGGTAATGTTGATGCTGCCGGTCCAGGGAACACACTTGCAGAACCACCAGCAGGTGGCAGATAATTTTTTTTTAAGTTAGTAAATATTTTAGACTTTGCAAGGCATACAGTTTCTGCCCTGACTTCTCAAGTCTGCAACCACTGACAATACGTAAATGAAAGGGTGTGGCTGTTCCAAGAAACTCCATTTACAGATATAGGCATCCTGCTGGAACTCCTCCAAACCCAGTTCTAGAATAAAAGTTACCTCATATATCGGCCTGAAACTCCAAGATTATGAACAGCTGATATGAGACCTCATTAAAAAACTCACACATAGGAGCTGGCACATTATAGCCTCTGGGCCATATACTGCTACTGCCTATGTTTGTACAAGCATGAGCTGAGCATGGTTTTTATGGTTCCAAATGGTTGAAAAAAATGAAAATACTTCTTCTTGACAGGTGAAAATTACATGAAACTGGCATTTCCATGTCCACAAATAGAGGTTTTTTTGAAACAAAGTTACACCCATCCATTTACATACTGTCCACAGCTGCTTTCAGGGCTGTAACACAGTTAAGTGGTTATAGCCTTCAAACAAGTATGTGAATATTTCAAATAAGAATGTCTGTTACAGAGAGTTTTTATGGAGTTTTTTTTTTTGTAGGTTTCATTATGTTCTTATACAGATGGCTTAAAGTAACATTTAACGAGAACATAGTCAACTTTTCATTTCATTAACAAAGGAGAAGCAGCAACTAAGAGCAGTAACACATACAACCCCTAAGAGTGTGAACTTATAAAGGTAAGAGGTACCACTAAGAGCACACCATCTACCAGAAGAGTCCTATGAATCTCACCCAAACCTAATATGTCATTCTCACAATCTCCTTGAAATATCTACCCCCCCACACACATCACAGGCAAGAAACCTAAGCTACAAAGAGACAGAAAGGGTAACCGGTCCAGGACACACAGCATCTCAGTATCAGTGTTGATGCGACTCAGACACTAAGCAGGTTTGTGACTCAACAACATGGAAACACATTTAGTGATGGGTAATTAGTTCTACCAGAAAAGAAAAATGTTTGATATAAAATAGCAGGACTCAAACACACATTGCCAAGAATGTCATTATCAAACTAAAATAATGGCTCATAAATATGAACTATAATTTAAGAACAGAAAGTCTTAATTCTATAGGTCTATTGAGCTCATCATTCACAATGTACCTCAAGAGCAATGATACTTACTCCAAGAATCCTGAAAGGAGGGGAGATTTCACTTTCTAAAAGGTACTTCAATAGGCAGCTAAATAGGAACCTAAAATATAATACTATGTACTTCCTTTTGTTAAAAAAAAAAATGTTGACTAAAAAATTTCAACATGCTCTAACTATATCAAAGTTGTATCTAAAAATAAAAACATTTATAAAAGCATTATAAATTGAGACACAAACAGTCAGGGAATCAAAACTTTCATGAATTACCTTCCCGGGAGAAATGTCACAAAAGAGAATGCCAAGTTGATGAAGATGATGTAATCCAGTCAGCAGGTCAATTCCAAATTCTCTCACTACATCTTCTGGGAGATTTTCATCTTGAGCAATAACCATTTCCAATGAACCACCTGCAAGTTGATTAAAATCACCCACTTTAACCCACCAACATTAGACAGTGCCTCTAGAAAGGTTCCATGCTGGGACCTGAGCATTAAAACATGATCAAATCAGTCCATCTGGACAATCCAACAGGGAAACATACTCGTGAATGAACACTGGTCCAGGAACCCTAACAGGAATCCCCACACTCCAGAGCCAGCCAAGGGCAAATGGCTGCTCGGCCTGGAAGGATAGTCAATAAATATGCCAGTGGAGTGAAGGAAGAATCACTCTGGCACTGTGATCTCTCACTCCAGACTCCTCAGGAAAGAAACAGCTACAGAAATTAGTGTTAAGTGCGACTATAAACTGTACACTTTAATCACACTGTGCAAAGGATAGTCAAGTTTACCCCCATGTAAAGTTAGGTCACGTTCCGCAAGTACTGCCTGGCACAAAAAGGTGCTCTTAAGAATTAGAAAATTACAAACTCTGATGCATACTAGTGATGAAATAAAAGGTCAGTGGCAGACACATTGTGAATTCCACGTCTATATCCTTGCAAGATCCCTGTCATAACTCTACCACCTAAGTGTGAGAAATAAACTTTTTAATTTTTTCTAGGATCAAGATTATAATTAGAAGTTAACAGAAAAAGAAGTCTTAGCTGGCAGCTGAAAGTTCAATCAGAACTCCTGTGATGAAGGTAGGAGGCATTCTGGGTTCTGTTCATTTTGTTCAGTGGGTGAGGAACCATTCCAAACACAGGGATAAATGAGTTAGGTTGTTACAACAGCCAGGGGTCAGAAATAACTGCTGAAACAAAAAGTAACACAGGTGGAGTCCCCTGATCACCTCAACAGTGTGTACATCTGATGAAAGAAATTAAACCATCTCCTCCTGTTGATTCAAAAAATAAAATGCAAAATGCAAACAATTTACTATTCCAAATAAGCTTTCATAAGTGCTTTATAAATTCTAAGGGCCAACAGGTAAGAGACTCATAAAGCTAGAAATAATTACATTTCACCTTAATATTTAATGATTCTTTATTATTACTCAATGTATAACTATGGTACTTCTTACATTTTTTCCTAAAGACACTGAAACTAAAAGTCCAGACAAAACCTATGTATTTAATCACCTTTCTCTCTGTATACAGTCTTGGAAAATTTTATCAAGCAAGAGCTGTTATCTCTAATTACTGCCAGGTGGTGGAATATGTTGATTCAGCTATTTTTCTATATTGCCTAAGTTGTACTAATTCAAGTAACCTTTGCATAAGAATAAAAAAATAAGAACTAATTAGGTAATAGGTAGTTGACCTCAAATCTTTTCTATTGAATGGAAAAACTTGTTTGATCATCACTAAAAATTATTTCTAAATTTTATGAAGATGATATAGTATTATTTTATACCAAAGTAAAGTCAACCCTAAACTGCATCTCTTCCTCTTACCAAACACCTTTGCTTTTTTCCTGTCCCTAATATATCAAAAACAGGTGTTCAAGTTAATGTAGTCAATAGGATGCTTATATTCATAATAGAAGAAAAAGTGAAAAATAACAAAACCTATGTCGTATGTTTTTTCAAAGCAACCTATATGGTGACTATAACCGTAGCACTTCTTCACGCCTACCTGTGCAGAGTTCCACAACTAGCCAGAGATGATTGCTGGTTTCATACCATTCATGAAAAGTTACAATGTTCTTGTGTTTAATTTCATGGGTCAGACGGACCTATAAAAACACACAGCATGCACACTAAGAAAAAAAGTTCTTAAAACCTTTGAATCTATTAAGAAACACCTAAATATCACACCTGGGAGATAGATAAGAAAACAATGGAACTTATTCAGTGAAATAAAATAATAATTTAGACATTAAAAAATAAATAAATAAAATAAAATATAGACATTAAGAATGATGGTTATGTGCTTACTCGCTCAGTCATGTCTGACTCTTTGCAACCCCATGGACTGTAGAGCCTGTCAGGCTTCTCTGTCCATGGAATTCTCCAGACAAGAATACTGGAGTGGGTTGCCATTTCCTTCCCCAGGGGATCTTCCCGACCCAGGGATCCAACTCATATCTTCTGCATTGCAGGTGGATTCTTTATCATCTGAGCCTCCAGGGAAGCCCTAATGTGAACATACTGATCTTAAAATGTACATTTCCAATGGATTATGAGAATACTTGTATACCAAAAACAAGAGTGAATTCAAAAACTCAGTAGTAAAGATTCAAAAGCGTGTCCATTAAAAAATATTAAGTTGCTTTGGGGATTTTTGGCTTTCTCCCTTTAAAAATCCCATTAAATATAGGAACTAAAACTACAAAAATGTGTATAGAACATCAAGACTCAGAATTGCTGATGACTGACTATCAAAGTGCATTGGATCCTTGCTTTCCAATTTTCTTAAAAATTAAAAACAGAAATTCTATTGTCAGAACCAGCTCGGGGCTTTTCGCCACGCTGTGTTCCCTTATCTTCCTCTGCTGGGTCAGCTATGGCAGTCGTGAAGACCCTGAACCCCAAGGCCGAGGTGGCCCAAGCGCAGGCGGCATTGGCGGTCAACATTAGCACGGCCCAGGGGCTGCAGGACGTGCTGAGGACCAACTTGGAGCCTAACGGCACCATGAAGATGCTTGTTTCTGGTGCTGGAGACATCAAACTCAGTAAAGATGGAAATGTGCTACTTCATGAAATGCAAATTCAACACCCAACAGCTTCCTTAATAGCCAAAGTAGCAACAGCCCAGGATGACATAACTGGTGATGGTACTACTTCCAATGTCCTCATCATTGGAGAGCTGCTGAAGCAGGCGGATCTCTACACTTCTGAAGGTCTTCACCCCAGAATAATTACAGAAGGATTTGAAGCTGCAAAGGAAAAGGCACTTCAGTTTTTGGAACAAGTCAAAGTAAGCAAAGAGATGGAAAGGGAAACACTTATAGATGTGGCCAGAACATCTCTTCGTACTAAAGTTCATGCTGAACTCGCTGATGTCTTAACAGAGGCTGTAGTGGGCTCTATTTTGGCCATTAAAAAACAAGATGAACCTATTGATCTCTTCATGGTTGAGATCATGGAGATGAAACATAAATCTGAAATAGATACAAGCTTATTCAGAGGTCTTGTTTTGGACCATGGGGCACGGCATCCTGATAAGACAGTAGAAGATGCATACATCCTCACGTGCAACATGTCATTACAATATGAAAAAACAGAAGTGAATTCTGGCTTTTTTTTTTTTTTTTTACAAGAGTGCAGAGGAGAGAGAGAAATCAGTGAAAGCTGAAAAGAAGTTCATCGAAGACAGAGTTTAAAAAATAATCGACCTGAAAAAGAAAAGTCTGTGGTGATTCAGATAAAGGATTCATTGTTATTAATCAAAAGGGAATTGATCCCTTTTCCTTAGATGCTCTTGCCAAAGAAGGCACAATAGCTCTGCGCAGAGCTAAAAGGAGAAACATGGAAAGGTTGACTCTTGCTTGTGGTGGAATAGCCCTAAATTCTCTTGATGACCTAAATCCTGATTGTTTGGGACATGCAGGACTTGTCTATGTGAATATACATTGGGAGAAGAGAAGTTCACCTTTATTGAGAAATGTAACAATCCTCGCTCTGTCACATTACTGATCAAAGGACCAAATAAGTACACACTTACTCAAATCAAAGATGCAATAAGAGATGGCTTGAGGGCTGGTAAAAATGCTATTGATGATGGCTGTGTAGTCCCAGGTGCTGGTGCAGTGGAAGTGGCAATGGCAGAAGCCCTGGTTAAATACAAGCCCAGTGTAAAGGGCAGGGCCCAGCTTGGAGTTCAAGCATTTGCTGATGCATTGCTCATTATTCCCAAGGTTCTTGCTCAGAACTCTGGTTTTGACCTTCAGGAAACACTAAAGTTCAAGCAGAACTTTCAGAATCCGGTCAGCTTGTGGGTGTGGACTTGAACACTGGTGAACCAATGGTAGCAGCAGAAGCAGGCATATGGGATAACTATTGTGTAAAGAAACAGCTTCTTCACTCCTGCACTGTGATTGCCATCAACATTCTCCTGGTTGATGAGATCATGAGAGCTGGAATGTCTTCCCTAAAAGGCTGAATTAAAGCTTCCCTTGTATCTGAATCCTGAAGACTACAGAGTGATCCTAATAATACAGCTATGGGATTTTGGTCCAAGCTTCAAATGATCTTCAAAGGATTTTCTTTTCCCATATTAAAAAAGGAGAGAACACTGTCACCTATTCAGATTCTGAAGTTCTGAAATTATAATTACACTATTTTTTAAATTGCACTGCAGTGTCCACATACAGCAGATCATACTTACCCAGTAAACAGGACATTTTGCTTTACCCTCAGTGATATAAAAATATTAGATAAGCATATGTCATCTACCTTATTAAATATTCACTGAAAAGCAAACAAAAAAAAAAAAAAAGAAAGAAAAACCAAAAAAATTCTATTGTCACTCAACACAGGCTAATGAGCCCATAATTTGTTGAAATACAGAGCTCCCTGTTTAAGAAATGGAATTTAGCACACTCCAGGAATAACTTGGTGGGCTCATATTGTAACAAAAAGAAAGGAAAACTAATTTACATGACTTAGAAGACAGATGAGGAGAAAATCAAACAGAGTGACCAAGGGAGAATTTGAGGAGCATCTTGTAATAAACCCCCAATATAAGGCCACTAGAAAGCAGGGAGAACCCTGGGTAAATAAGTTTAAAGGTAGCCTCGCTAATTCTGGCTTGGGAAGGGGAGGTCCTAGTGAAAAAACAAAGGAGATACAGAAATCCCAAAAGAATTCAGGCCACAGCACACTCTTCCCAACTCCCCATCACTCAATATTTGCCAAGTACCTACTCTTCCAGACACTGCTCTGACAATCTCACCCTCCGCCCAGACCTCCATCACCCATGTGCAGCCTCCACTGGCCAGTGCAGGAGACACTGTGGCCAGTACTCGCCACAGAGGGCTACTGTGCTCCGGAGCGGCAGCTGGGATAAGCTTCAAGTGTAAAATACACACCAGATGCCCAACAATCAACATCAAAATTAGAAAAATATCTCACTGGATGCACACTGAAAAAATAATGCATGGTATTATTAATTTCATATGAGATGAATATATATTAATAAGATGAATTTCACCTATTTATTATTCTTTTTAAATGTAGATATTATGAACTTTACAGTTAGATTTATAACCCCCATTATATGTCTATTGGACAGCATTGCTAGATTTTTTCTTAACTGGTAACACTATTCTCTCCAAAATCTCTTCCACATATCCTAATCCGTGACCACCACTCACTCACTTTCCCGCTCACTCGCTCTAGGACTGCATTTCTGGTTCAATCCAACCCTCCCCAGTCTGCATACACCCAAGGCACTGAGGCAGACACAAACCATGCTGATTGCTCTGCCTTCCACTGATGATCCCCACTCTCAAAGGGCCCCAGCCAGTCTGCCCTCCAGGTGACCTATTCCCACCTTTTCTTTCCTCTTTTCTAGAACACTGCCTGCCCCTTCCCCCTAACTGAAGACTTAAGATTCTCACCTCAGTGAAAACGTAATCAGGAGAGAAATTCCTCCTGTTCCCAGTTCCGAATCGACCAACTAGGGAGCATCTAGTCCCATACATCTGTCTTCCCTCAACTGTCCACACACCTCTCAAAAGCCAACACCCCCTCACGCAGGTGAAGATGGCTGTTTAAAATAATAATAAATAACAACAACAGCAAAAATAACAAGTGTTGGCCACAGTGTGGAGAAATGAGATCCCTTGCACACTGTTGTGGGAATGCATAATGGTAGGGCCTCTGGGGAAAACCGACTATTTCACGGTTTGGAGAAATCTGTAATGACTTGTATTATTATAGCGTCTATCATATAGAAGAGTTTCACTGCCCTAAAATCCTCTGTGCTCCGCCCATTCATCCCTCCCACTCTCCCCCACCCCCCAAACTCTGGCAACTACTGATCATTTTACTGTTTCCATAGTTTTGCCTTTTCCAGAATGTCACATGGTTGGAATCATACACTATGCAGCCTTTTCAGACTGGCTTCTCTTACCAAAGAATGTCCATTTAAGGTTCCTCTGTGTCTACTTGTGGCTTGATAGCCCATTTCCTTTTATTAATGAACAGTATTCCAGTGTATATATGTTCCAGTTTGTTTATTCACTCACTTACTGTAGGGCATCTTGATTACAAATGAAGCTGCTATAAACATCTGTGTGCAGGTGTTTGTGTGGACCTAAGTTTTCAACTCTTGTGGCTAAGTACCAACAGTGTGATTATTCAGTCATTCAGAATTCTTTTCATCTTGCAAAAATGAAAATTTCTAGGCATTAAAACAATAATTCCCCACTTCCCCTTTCCCTGGCAATCACCACTGTATTGTACTTTGTTTCTGAAAGTTATCTCATATAAGATGGTGATGGCTGCACAGCAATAGGCATGTACTTACAATATCAAACTACACACTTAAAAATGGTTAAGATGATAAACTTTCTTATGTGTATTTTTCCACAATTAAAAAAAAAAAAAAGCTAGGTTTGGTCCAAGGAGTCTGGGCTGTAAAGTGGTACAACTATTTTAAACCCAAGTTACTCTCAACTAATGTCCTTCCTTTGGAAAGCTTCATAAGCATGTACTAAATTTAAAAGTAAATGATCTAGGGGGGTGGGGGTGGGGTAAAAAAAAAAAAAGTAAATGATCTAGGGACTTCCCTGATGGTCCAGTAGCTAAGACTCCTAGCTCCCAATGCAGAGGGCCAGGGTTTGATCCCTAATCAAGGAACCAGATCCCACCTGCCACAACTAAGTCCTGTCACAGTCAAATATATTTATTTTTCAGTGATCTGATATAGACTATATTTTCCCTGACTCATAAAAAAAACAAAAGCCAGAAATCTAAGTTGCTAATTATTGATACTTGAGTATGTTTAGTAGCCACTGTTCAAGACTGTTGGCACCAAAGAGAGAAACTCACCCATCCCAGACTGAAAACGTACTGTCGGCCGCAGTGAGACCAGTGACTTCTGTCTACATACAACTTACTCTATCGGATCATCTTTTCTGTCTTTTCCCAAAGGGAGAGGTTTCCCAAAGGGAGAGGTACTTGACTTACCCAATTGGTTATTTCAGGCCTCCTGCACTTATCAGTACAAAGAATAGCTACAAAATTGATGGTCCCCTTCCGTCGCCCTTTGTAGACCACAGTCTTGCTTCCTCGGCCAATCTCCTCATACAGGATGAAGTTTTCCATCTCTGGGTTGACTTCTCACCTTCGATAAAATGACAGTCTAATAGCATCTCTAACTCCTAAAAAGTAAACAAAAATGACACTTCAAAATCCAAACTAACTGCATGATTGATCAGCCTAAGCTATTTAATATGTAATAAATAAATCTAATAATTCTATAAATTCAAAAATCTGCCTACAAATGTTGATACAAGTGTCTTTGTTTTTGTAAAATGAAAAAAAAAGGAAAAAAATAAATAAAAGAAACAATTCACAAACCAATATTCAACTCCCTAGCGACAAGACCTTAACAAAAGTAATGAAAATGACAGCTATTTTGAACACATGGGACAAAACCAGGGAATAAATGAGATTTCAGTCAATGTATCTTGATACAGCTCTTACTCTGTTACACCGGAAAGCACTTTGTGTCAGTAACTGTGTAATGAATGGGGTAATAAGCCCCATCTAACCATAAATTACGAGAAATGAGACAGTGCATGTGAAAACACTATGTAAATAAATATGGAATGATAGTACTTCTATCTAACTCAGAGATTTTAAGAGTCAATTCAAATATTATTCAAAGTCAGTGGTCAGCAAACTACTGATTCCTGGGCCATATCCAGCCTGCTGACTCCTTCGTAAATAAGTGGAACACAGCCATGCCCAATCATTTATATGTTGTCTAAAGATGCTTTCCAGCTATGACGGCAGTGTTGAATAGTAGTGAGACTGACCCTATGACCTGCACACCCTCTAAAATATTTACTATCGGGTCCTTTACTGGAGAAAGTTTGCCAACTCTTTCAAATCACTTTTTTTAAACCACCCACTAAAACAACTTCATTTTCTTGGCCAACAAAATCACCTTATATTCATGAGTGAATGACAATCAGACGTAGTCTTTTACAAGGCCATGCAGTTTCAAAGAGTCAGACACAACTTAGCAACTAAACAACAGGGGTTTATACTTCAGCCAAGAACAGAAGTATCAATATTTATACTGATAGTAGATACGCTTTCAGAGTAGCTCAAAATCTTGGAATGCTAAGGAAGTAACAAGGTTTCCTTACTTCCAGGAGAAATAAAATTTCAAGTGGCTCCTATGTTCAGAAATTATTAAATGCAATACTTTTACCTGCCAGGTGAGCTATTATTAAGATTCTGGGGCATTCTAAGCTTGACTCTCCAGAAGCAGAACAAAATCACCTGGTTGCTATTAATATTGCTGCAAGAAATGCTGCCCTTAAAGGGACCAACAGCAACCAAACCTCTGTCGTGGTCCAAAGAGATATTTCCCAAAATGATAATTTAGAAAAACTGGCACAAAGGGCCAACAGTTGGTCTCAGAAAAGGAAAAACAAGATTAGAAATTCAACAACTGTTGGTTTGATAAAACAAAAAGCTTTGGTTTGGACTAAGGAACAGCACCGCCATATGGGAGACTAAAATTCCCACTCTTTATTCCTGTATATGCATTTTGTCAGTCTGCTAACAAAATGACGGCCTTCATGAATCAATACCGCTGGGGAAACATTAATTAGTGGCAAATGGATTACATACTGTGTCATCTAACAGATAAAGTATGATTTAGTCATGATCTGTGTGTTGTCACACTGGACTGAAACCTTTGCTTGCAGACAGTCTACTGCCCCTCATGGGGCTAAAGGACCAGCATTCTTAAAACTCAACTGACAAAACACAGAGGCCCTCCAAATATCTCGACCAAAAGCATCGCTGTTGGTCCTTCTAAATCTCAGATCCACCCCTTCTGTATTTCAGAAACTCTCAACCTCTTGAGATAGTCACAAGACACCCAATGCCCTGGGCTCCTGCTTCTTACAATCCACAACTAATAAATGCAGAGTTACTCCAATACTGAAAGGCCTAATTGCTTCTACAAAAAATAACCATGTTTTGGCAGGGGAGTCATTTTATAGAGCACCCTCAGGAAACAAAGACCTCCAGCATCACACCTTGTAACCTGGAGAGTTCGTTTACTGGAAAAGACACTTCTAGAAGAACCATCTTCAGCATCACTAGAAAGGTCCCTACTGAGTATTACTAACCAACCCTTGTGCCACCAAACTCCAAAGAATACAGCTTTTGGATTCACGTGACACATGAAAAGAAAGTGCACAACTCTTGACTGGACCTGCACAGCAACTGGTGATCTGAAAGTAAAGATTTTGCGGAATTAAAGCAGACAACATCCAGTGAGACAGCTTTCCCAAGGTATGCGGATCTGGCCTGCTGGAAGTCTGCCACTGTGGGGCTGCACCCTGCAGGCCTGCGAGCCTTGCATCTGCTCAGCCTCAAAGAGAGAGCCTGGAGTCAGCGACAGAGACATTAATGACTTATTGGACAGGGGGTCTTAAAGGCCTGAAGCAAGGCGCTGGAGAGACAACCCACTGTGTGTGGCAGATAGCAGGCAGAACACGACATGGCAGCCATCTTCACTACTTGAGGGAGGAGGAGTCTACCATTTACAGGGGAACTGATGTCAGGTGGGCTCATCAGGTACCAGAGACTAATTAAGAGGACTAGATAGTCCTGTGAGTGAAGTAGGGCGTGGTCGAGCAAGGCATGTACAGAAACCGAGAGAACAACCATCCTGAATGGGCTAACCATACGGTTGCCAAGCCTTAGATGACGGCATAAGACATCAAATGATCACCAGTGTCTGTGATCTTGATAACATATAGATTTTAGATTAAAAGTGCCTGGTAGATCTCTCTCCTACCCCTCCTTGGTAACTGTTATCTTAATAGGTTTCCACTCTGCACTTTCCCCTCCACCTGAGACACGATACCCAGGAAAAGTATAGATAGATACTATCTATAGAGGGATAAAAAGCCACTGCAGCTACAAAAACTGACCCTTGATCAGCAATGCTTTCAGAGAAAGATCTTGATCAAACGAGAGAAATGTAAAATATGTATATACATATTAAACAGAAACCTCGATTAAACAGAGTTGGGAGACAAGAAGTGGGGCACTCTCATACCCTGCGATGAGAGCCGAGCCCAAGTGGAAGAATAAAGACTCCTCTTCTTTCCTGGCAAGGACTCTGTCAATGGAGTCTTTGTCTACTACAGCCTTCCCAACTTACTCTTCCCCTTTATAAAATCTTTCTCCTTCCCTGCCAAGCTGGGGAACTGCACCGTGTCTTGTCGTGGTTACACAAAACGAATTGCAATTCCCTGCTGATGCCAAATAAGGCCATCTTTTCTGGAGAAATATCTGGCAGTCTTTTGGTTCCGGTAAAGAGAACCAGTCCTGACTCCTGAGCCACCAAAATGCAGGCTTAACAGGAGAAATTATGTGTCAAAAAAAATAACCTGAGAGTTTAAATGTTCACAAATTGGTTATGATACATCAGCATAAGATGTTAAAATAAGTTTTTATATAAGATGAGTGATTCCTTCAGAACAAGTTTTTAGGCCACAAGAAAAATAAAATCTTAAAATTTTGAATTTGAGTCAGGCCAAATTCATTTCCTCAATCTTTCACTGAATAGAGGCATCTGAGCAGGGCACACAGCCTGAAATTAACAAAACATATCAATTACAGAGTAGGCTTAGACAAGGGTGGTTTTTTACCTGCAGTATTTCCTCTCTCTATGGGCTCAACTTCCTTACAGCAAAATAAGAACTCAGACTATTTTATAAATTATCTTTCAGATTTGAAAACCACTGACTTCAAGATTCTTTTTTACTCAGTCTAAGGATGTTCCTCACCTCAGACTTCCTAATGCATTTTTTAAATGTTGTAACTTCTTAAATTGTAAAACAAAACACAAATACAGAAAAACCCACAAAATAAACATATAGCTTAAAGAATTATTACAAGAAGGGCATCCCTGTAATCACCACCCAGACCAGCGACAGCACTTTGCCAAGAAGTCCTTCGCTGAGCCTTGGACAATCACAACTCCTCATACTACCCCCAAAAGAAATCACTCTCCTGACTTCCATGCGTTTCTTTATAGTTTTCTCATTAAGTACGCATTCCCAGACACCACAGTTTAGTCTTGCACATTTTCTAAAAACCACTGTGCATCTTTTAAGTCTCTCTTAATCTGCAAGTTCACCCAGGTATCAACAGAGCAACTCACACCTATCAGCAGTTGAAGCATTTATGATTTCAGCGGGCTGGGCCTATACTCAAACTCTGAAACACAGCAGGGGCACGCAGGTGAAGACAAGAACCTTCTCCTAATCATCCACACCTTCAAATCTTTAAACTCGCTCGCCAGCAGCATTAGCAACACCTGGGAACTGAGACGTGCAAATTCCCCACCCTGGGGCCCAGACCCTACTGATTCAGAAAACTCTGGAAGCGGGGTCCAGCAATTTGCGTTTTAACTAGCCCTCCGGTTGCACGCTACCTTAGAAATCCAAGTCAACCTTTCCCGAGAGCACAAGAGGCGGCGGGCACTACACCGGGCACTAAACTGGTGCTCCTCCTCGCAGCACTTTTCGGACCAAATCAATTGCAGGGTTTGAGCTTCGTCTGACCTCGAAAGCGTAGGCTCTAAGTCGCTACGTTAACACCCTCTCTTCCCGTTACCCCCGCCCCCAAACTGGAGGCTTTCACTGCCTCCCCGCGTCCAACGACATCAATCAGCGAGGCCAGCTTAGAACCCAGGAAGCTAAACCAGAGTTTTAAGAGAGAAAACTCCGAATTTGAGGTGTCTGTAAAGAGCATCTCCAGAACCCAGGTCCTAGAAGAGGTGTCCCGTGTACCCTAAATGAAAAGTTTTGTAGAATTCAACACAAGCACAAAAACGCGGAGCCCAAAGAGAGAGGGGGCGCTGGGGGCACAGGGTCCACGGAGGGAGAGAGAGTGGTGGGCGGCCCCCCTGCAGACCGGCGAACGCTGAGAGAGACGGGGACATAAATTCGTGGCCCCTAAAACCGCCACTGCCGCTCACCTGCTCGCTCGGTGGTGAAAAGCCGCAGGTCCATGGGATGGATACCTAGCTAGCTCGAGTGCTTGCGTCTCGGCCCCCGCGCATG